TGTTAATTTTCTAGGCCATTCTAAATGACAATTAAAAATTACCTTGTTGGTTGTTTCTACATATATTGTTTACCTTGCATTGTATCCTAAAGCCTCTGTACACTTAAAACTAATAATTTGTCTAGAGGTTATTTTGTATTTTACATGTGCACAATGTTATCTATGGTTGAATTTTATTGCTTTCAAATTTTTACTTGTATTAATTATTGACATCATTAAGACTTTAGTAAGACGGTGACTAGAGGTATCAATGGCATCCTGGCCTTGCTCTCAGCTTCACTCAAAAAACTTAAAAAACATTTCACTACTATTTATAATATATGTTTATGCTATTTTTGATAAATATGTCCTTAGCATGTTTATTCTACTATGGTAAGAATATATTCTTTATAATCAATTCTTGATAGATTTTATGAAATGTTTTGTGGGACATCAATTAGGATGATCACTTTTGCCATTATCCCAATACTATGGAGGATTAAATTGCTCAAATTTCCAATATTGAACAAGTGTAGCCTTCCTGGAGGTTTCAATCCAATTTATGCACGGCGTATTCTTTATTAACATATTATCTGGATTCAACTTTCTAGGCCAGTTCAATATAATGAAGAAAACATGCAGGCAGAGAGCTTTGGTTTCCTTGCCAAGAGAGTAAGACTCAGTCTTGATATATTTCATAATTTGGGTGTAGTTTTCAGTGAGCCCACTGAACTTCAGTGGTTTTCTAGAGATAAGATTTTCTCCAGGGTCTCAACAATTCCACAGCTTAGTGATTCTATAATTTAGAAGGTGTTCTAGTATTTTAATATCTGGGCATTGATGTCACAGCATATAATGCGGCATATTTTGGCAAACATATAAAAAACTAACACTGAACAAATGAGCTGATCAAAAACAATTTCTGTAGAAGTGATTTTTGATTTAAACTGTGGGCTTTTATGTTACTTATAAAGCATTGCTATACTTTATATCATTGCCCGAAAACAACAACAACAATGAAGAAACAAAAACAGAAAGAAACCTTGTACCTCTGCTTGGTGCCAGAACACATGTAACTATATTCTGTTACATTTCCCTGGTATATAATTTTCCACCTGTTACTGGAAGTCACCAATCCTCCTGTCTCCTCCTTGAGAAACTTATGTTCTAGTGGTGCTGTTTTGGATAAAGCCTAGCTGGGTTTCCATCTTTTGTTAGTCTTAACTGTTTAGCCAGACTGTCCTTTGTTGATTAGGTGGATGGGAGAAAGGGACGATATCTGATGGACTTACAGAGACCTCACTCTTCAACTCTGCTTCCAGCAGAATTCTTGGAAATGAGCAGGAACAAACGTTAGAAATGAGCGCATCAAATGGCTGCAGAAACAACATCTCCATCACACACCAGAGGGACATGAAACCAAGATTTATTAAAATATCCTTAACATATTCACAAGTAGTGCAGTGAATGCAATTCTCTGGAAATTCAAAAAAATAGTGTTCTGTCTCTTAAAACAAATCAACAGAATATCAATAGATTAGGATAAATATAATCTATCACAGAGATAGAATTTCTTTCAATAGACAATCTAAATTTTTCTAACCAATATATATTATGTACAAAAATACACTTGATATAATGATCAAGTAGTGTCAAGAAGGAAAAAATTATATACACACATATTTTCATTATGTACAAGTCAATGTTGGTTCCTTCACCTTTTCTTTTTAAAAATAAATACTTCATTTGGTTGCAAATTACATTTACAGATTCAACTCATGAACATTTCTCAGTGTTGGTTGACAAAATTAAATATGCAATTAGAAATACATACTATTTTTAACTTAAAGGGAAAATACCCAAATTCAGTTAGCTTATTATGCTTACAAACATCCAAGAACATGGAAAATAAGGTTTCATGTCTATAAAGTGCTTCTCTTTGCCAAAGCTATCTTTATTTTATTGGTTAAAGTTCCTTAAAGTTACACCTGATGAATTGGTCTAATATTTGAATAGAAAGACTGGATTTTTACCAGATTTTACCAGGGCAAAACAGTCAACTCTGCAGGACATGCTTGCATTTCTACGAGTGCTTTTAAGAGCATAACAGTTACTGTGAATCTGAAAAGAACCACAAAATGTCAACATCCCAGTTCAGATTGTGGTAGATGTTTGAGTCATGAGCAATAGTAATAATGGAGTGGCAATAAGAAGTCTGAGGGTTCATAATGTTTGCACAGAGGTCAGTTTGTCCAGCGGCACAGAAAGCTGAGAGCCCAAGATTTCGCCTGGTCATAGCTGCTCCAACGGATCAAAAGTGTTCTCTAATTAGACAGTTTGAAACTCTGCGAGAGACCAAGAACTAGAACACCCAACCTCTTTAATAAAGTAGAGCGAAATGAAAAAAGAAATGCATTTTCCACCTCTTTTATGGATTTTCCCCCTTTTTGCCTAAGTGATGAGGTGATGGTGACATTAACAAGAGGCAGTCTCAGCAGTGTGTCTCACTCACACAGGCTCCTTGGTGACAGTAGTGCTCTGTCCAAACACTGGAGGCTGAAGCACACGGCCTGAGAGGGCTGAGGGGCATTCAGTGTCTGTGCTGGAGAGGACAGAGTAGCTGGGTCCAGAAGAAGCTGCAGAGGTCCCTTCGGAGGAGAGGGGCTATGGTGTGGGGAGGAAGTGAAGATGAAGCATGGGATGGAGGAAAGTGAGATGATGCTAGCTGCTGCTGGGGCTTGTGAGCAGGTAGAAAAGACACAGAAAGGTCCTCGGACAAGTCACCCTTGTAACAGAATCTGAAGCTGGACATTACTGAGCTAAACATGGGTCAGCACAAAGTCTGTCACTGAGCTGTATAACAACACGGAACACTCCTATTTGCCTAATACAAATGGCCTTCATTTCTATTAAAAAATGCCCCTGGTACTATCATGGCAAAGGCTATGTAAAAACACTGCACTGGGTTCATTCAGTTTTTCTTCTCTCCTGTTTCCTGGTTTTCCTCTGTCATCCCCTGCTGCTTGAGATCTCAGAAAGTGGACAGGAGATACTGCAAAAGTCAACCGGAATCTTAGGAAGCAGCTCCCATGATCCCAGGTGGTGCTAAGAAAACTAAACCAAACAGAGCCAAACCATAAATGAGTTAAAGCGACTTACATTTCTGTGGCATCTGACTCATATTAGGACGCTAACTGATTTCAGAGAGTTTCTAGACATGCAGGCCAAAGCTTATTTTCCAGGCAAAAAACCATGATCCCTAAATCAAAGTCCAGTGAGCCTGCTTCCCACACTAGTCTGGATTATAATTCACAGACGGAAAACACTGTGATGAATTGATGACATGCTTCCACTAAAGGCTCTTAAAAATTAGCCAGGGTCTAATTTGTAAATGCTCTGCCTTTCGGAGACCATCTTAGATCGTTCCCTTAAAGGGAAACCCTTTTCCCTTAAATCACATAATCCTCAAAGATTACGCACACAGTGGTCAGTGGGCCAGTGAGGCATGGTATTTGTGTCTCAGGAAGTTGGAAAATAGTAGAATTATAAAATTAACGATTTTAAAAGAAACCTGTGCCTCTGGTAGACTTCACAAACTCTATTTAAATCACTGCAGACAGAATCACTTCAAGACCTGGGTTTGTTTCCAAGAGTAGTGAATACCTTCTAGGCTCTGTGCGGAACCACTATTGAGACTGATGGTCAGACATGGTTGTATCCAGAAAGAGCCGGTAGGAAAAGGAGGCTGGAGAAATGATTAAGAGCACTTGCTGCTCTTGCAGAGGATCCAGGTTCAGTTCTCAGCCTCCACGTGGTGGCTCACAACTGTCTGTAACTCCAGTTCCAGAGGATCTAACAGCCTCCTACTAGCTTCTGCACTGGGCACACAGGTGGTACACATACATACATGTAGATGGACAAACATACACATAAAGCAAAAATAAGTACATTCTTCTAAAAATGAGGAAAAAGAAGATATTTGTAGCTCACAAAACATACCTACAATGTAAGTATTCTAAACGCTCTTTGGCCATTCAATGGGAGAGCAGGACAATTTGTGCACGCCCTATGCACCTTTTCACACCTTAAGGTTATAGACTAGAATTAAAATTCATTCCATGCATTCCCAGAGTTGTTCATTTTTGAAATCTATCAGTCATGCTATGGTGAGGCAGAGTAACTTCCTTGGGTGCTCAGTGGTCTACAGGGCTGGGCTTTTGTTTGAGAAATATCAAGTAGGGAAGCCAACTTAGGTGAACAATTAAAAATACCTTGCATTATAAGGTGGAAGTTGAAGAAAACCCTGGAAGACAACAGTGGAGGAGAGCAGGCATGACTTTGGCAAACAGCTCCTGGTATACACTCGATTTCTTACTTGATATAAGTATAACTCATTGGAAACCTACACTATTTATGGGATGAACATTCTCTCTAAGACATTTTTGCAGCTTCTGAGGTGGGGAACACAAGAAGTTCTAAGGATGACACTCAGCCTAGGTGACATCCCTATTGAATGTGGTAGAGCCTGTCTCTTCCCTGGGGTGTTCATTTCCACCTGAGCCTACTGACTCGTTTGTGTTTTGACAGCCTGGGGCTGTCATGTTTCACAGGAACCATGAAAAAATACCATGGAAGCTTGGGAGCGGTCGAATCAGACTCCAGTAGATTCCTTAGATATGACGAAAATTATCTGAGGACAGGGCGTAGTGTGAGGTATGTAGTGTGTGGAGTTTGTGGGCTTAATTTGTTCCTTAGGAAAACAACCCAGATGAGCAAAACAGCAAAACAGAGACAGAACTGAAGTTAGGTTAGTCTTCTTCAGACCGTGTGTTTGATAACAACAGTATGGAATAAAGTGTAGGGCTCGTGTGAGCGAAAGACTGAAACAAAGAGGAAAGCAGAGAATGAAAGGCCTCAACGGCACTGGTCATCTCTAGGGTGTCTGAAGATGGGCTGGGCTGGGCTAGAGCGCAAACGAAGGCCAACACGTTCCACTTAAGGGCAGCATATGGCTTCTTTTGCTTGTCTAGTTTTTTTTTTTTTTTTTTTTTTTGAAACCTGATGACACCTGAAGAGACAGTCAGCGAGCTACCATTTTAATGTGCCCATGTATCCAAGTAAGCTGTTAAGTATTCAAATTCCCCAAGTGTGATACAAGGCATTGCATTGCAACAAAGGAGGCTACTGAGCTGGTCTCGTGTGAAATGTGCTGAGAATCTTTCAGATTCTCCACTTTCCCCGCCAAGTGTTATCTTGAGGGAGTTTGGGAGATTGCACATCCTTGTGGAGGGGAGTGAAGAAGTGTGAAATTCATGAGAGTTCCCTACAAGGTGTCAACAGCTGACTGGGAAGCAGGAAGGAGGGAAGTAGCTTGGTCACATACAGCTGTGAAACTGAGCCTGGTTGTGCCTGGGTCCAAGTGCCACAAGCATTAAGAACAATTGTGTAAGACTAGAGGGGAAGAGCCGTGGAACTGAGTTTTGGGGGTGCGTTTCTTTAGGTCCTTTTTGTATGGGTCATAGCTTCTAAGTGGCTTTCCATTGCTGGAAGATGAAAACCTATCCAGTGCTATCTCCCTTTTGTGAGATGTAAATTTCCTTCACAACTCTATCAGTTCGGGAAGGACTCGGTTCACCTGCACTGCAGATGTCCTTATGCAGATGAAGTAGCTAACCTGGGTGTCGGATCAGTTCACCCTCCTGCAGGGTCCCTCAAGCCACACGAGCTAAACTATGGATTTTGATATTCATGGTCTTCTGATATTCCACTCACTTATAAACGCCCCTCAGGGGAATCCAGAGGAAGGACAGAGGCACATCCGGCTCTAGAATGCGTGCCTTTCTCGACGTGGCTTTTTAGAGACAATCTGGACTCTTTCAAACCCACTGTAAAGACAGCCTGACATAAGCTGCGGCTCCAGGCAGACGGCTGGAAGGTTTGTGGGTACTCATCACAGCCATTTGGTTTCATACCTGCTTAGTCAGGACTCCTACCACTTTGGATTTCATAGTATGCTCCTGTTTTGTGATTCAATAATTAAACTTATTTGTAGATGACCAAATCTATGGATGCATGTTTCCCATAATCTTTTGGTACTCCCCCCCGCCACACCTTGATACAGGCAAAGTAAAATGAAAATGAAAATCAAGGAAAAAAACCCCCATACTTTCTACTAGCAATTTTGAACACAATTTAAACTACTTTGTAAAATAAAATATTTGGGGGGAAGTATACCTTTCGATTTTTTCCATGTATCTCGCTGTATCATGTCCTCGCTTGCTTTTTAAGATTTATTTTAATTTTTAATTATGTGCATACATATGTGTCTGTGTGTAGGTATGTGTATGACTGTGTGTGCATTGTGTCCTTGGAGGACAGAAGAGGATGTCAGATTGCTCGAGATAGTGATAGCGATTGTGAGCCACCCAACATGGGCAATGGAATCCAAACTCAGGCTATCTATACCAACAGTATGTGCTCTCAACTACTGAGCTGTCTCTGCAGCATCCTTACCCCGGCTGGTTTTGTCTTTGACTTTTTAAATGGTGGGGGGTGGGTACTACAAAATAGAGTTAAGATATTAGAAAACAAAAAGGTGTGTCCCTTGTCCCCCACCCCAGTATGGTCTGGTTCTCAACAGCCTGGAGGATCTGCTGTGTTCTGGAAGGACAGAGAGACAGTGCCATCTGTGATGACTAATGAACGTCTTAGAGACTCGAGGTGGCATCAACCCCACTGAAAGCCTCCTGTTCCACTCATCCCATCCCCAGGACCCATCAGGTGTAGGCTGTGCAGACAGAACGCTGGCATGGCTCCTGAGGTAGAGACAAACTAGCACTTTCCTTTTGCACTTCAGTCCTAACAAGGAGGCCACAGAGAAGAGGATGTCCACAGGTGCAATCTGCCTTGTTGGTTAAGTCCTTTGTTCTTCTTTATAGTTACAACGAGAATAAACAGAAACAATATACAAAAGGCAATAGGAAAAGAACAGCGATGCCAAGACATTCTCTTCATGGTAGGTTTCTTATTGGATTGTCTATTTTGTCTCATCCCTTCATTTTGATTAAAACAAACCACGTGACCACGTCCCTTCCTTCGGGCCACTGAAAGACAATTAGCACCCGCGTGGATGTGGCAACTGTGACTTGTAGGTGCCAGCTACTCTTGCTTTGCATGGTTTGCACTGTGCCTGGCTGTGGTGATGCTTTCATTACCTTGCATCTATTCTCAGAGTGTCCCTGAGTCGGGGAGGGGGGTGAAGCCTGGCAGGCAGATTCCAGGAAGACATTTAAGGTATCTGGCAAGTTCAAAGGTTTGAGAAAGTTGCTGAGGCAAGAGGCAGGCCCCACAAGACAGCCAGAGGTAGGCAGATCAGCAAGCGATGCAAGATTCTGAGTAACTCTAGACCGTCTCAACCAAGAGAAGAAAAGCATAGTCCTTCAGTACATCAAGGCTTAAGAACACAGTCTTCAATTCAATCCTCAGTTCATGCTCAGTCCTCTCGTTTTCTCACCAGGGAAATTCAAACAGCAGTTGTGTTGGGGAGAAAAATGTAGGAAAAGGGTCCCAGGAGGCTTTTCTCCGGATTTAAGGGCCAGAGTGGGAAAACACAGCTTGCCCCTGACAGTCCATTCAGAGGTTAATACTAACACAACCACCTTGCTTGCACTTTAGGGTAGAGAACTTCTTTCTGACCATCACATTTTGGACAGCAAATGGTCCTTGGTCCCTTCCTTCACATGCTTTTGAGTCAAGGCCATGATGAAAGTAGACATTTGCTCTCCTGTCTGAAAACTGCTTGGGAATGGTGGAAGAGACCAAGCAGCAAGTTGTGGGGCACAATGTAGACCTCATCTGCCTGTCTGCTTAGCACTCATTTACTGTCCAAGCTGGATCTGAAGCCACATGGACGCTTGGTCCAAGTCTGTCCTGCCCTGTTTCTAATAGAAGTTGTTACAGAATCTCTAGTGGCCAGGAAGCCGTGCTAGCTGTGTGAGCTGATCTCAATGGCCAATGTTCGCTCTTAGCATCATAACTTAGTCTCCAGGATGTGATTTATGGTTATTATTCTCTCTCTCTCTCTCAACCCATGGGAAATCTTAATCTCTTTCCTTTTCATTATATTATAATTTTCATTATAAAAAAATCACTTCCCTAGTCTGTGAGGTTTAACTCTTCAAAAACAGTTCTGGTAAGTTTCAACATTTTTGTTAAAAATGCCATAGGATCTTGGTACAAGTGGGTCAAGATTAAGACCAATACAAAAAACAAAACAAAAACCCACAATGTGTGAGGAACAAGGCTTGAGTTCTCTCACGGCAATCACCCCAAAAGAGGTACCTCTTTTTCCATGATGGTTATACACTGGGAAGCTTAGAAATTCAGCATAAACTAAAATGCAAAAAATTTTTGGTACATCTTCTGATTCTTTTATAGCATGGGCTTTGGATTTCTATAAGAAACAACTATCAGATATTCCTGTAATATTTCCATACATAGCACTGTTCCCATGGATTAACAAGGGACCCCTCAAAGGCGGCACAGGGCACTTCCTGCAGACGACCTCCGAAGGAGATAAGCAAAGCAAAAATCTGTAACAGATCTGTCGGGAGCTCCCCTTGGCACTGGAGTCTAAAGGAGCACTGGGCTGTGTCCTCTCACCCTGAACTTTCCTTCTGTGTTCATCTTAGCTGGTTGACACACTGGCTTCCTTCTGACGCAGTCTTTCTTTCTGTTCAAGAAGAAAACAGATCCATTGTCATTTCTACTTTTTAAACATTTTTTGTCTTAAGTTCTGGTAACTTTCTCAAATTCTGGTCTGAAATGGTGAGTTATAATTGTACTAAATACCACAGAAGTAACAGTATTTCTATTGTTTTTTTTCCCCCTTGGACAAAACGCATCAACCTACCACACAGCGTGGAGGAATATATTCCCAGCTCCCCACTATTGCTCTTTACGGAAGCAGGAACAGTAGCTAATCTTTACGGAACCCCTATTACGTAACTGGTACTCTGCATGCCCTTCCTGTTGCCTCAAAATAAGGTGGAATTATCATTGCCCTCTTTCCCTCGAAGAGAAAAAAAAGGAAAGAAACCTTACTAAGGTCTTAGGGCAATGCTGAGATTTAAACCTGGGCTGTCTCCGTCCCAATAATCCTGGGTTCCCAATCATGCAGCAATGCCGACTGTACTATGGTTAATGTTAATTTTCAACTTGACAAGGTCTGGAATCACCTGGGAGCCAAGCCTACTGACACGCCTGTGAGGGTTTATTTAACCCCTGGGCACACCTCTCACGGATTAGCTTGATTCAGATAACTAACGTAGGAAGACCTGCCCACTATAGGTGCTTCCATTTCCTGGGATGGGATCCTGGGTTATGTAAAAGGAAGACAGTGAGCTGAGCATTAGTGGTCACTGCTTTCTGCTTCTTGACTGCGGGCAGAGTGTACCTGGATGTCCCGAGCTCCTGCTTCTGTGACTTCACCACCACGATGGACTATAACTTCCAACCAGGAGCCAAAACAAACCCTCTTTCCCTTTAAGTTGCTTTTGTGGGGTGTTTGATCACAGCAACAGGGACGGACACTAATCCAGTCTGTGGCACACAGGTAGAGAATCACTGTGACCTCTACTGAACACTGGACTCTGGAGGACAACTTCCTCAGACTCAGGGAAGCACAAGGAGACTGGCTGGCTTCCAATATAAGGAACATATGTGAGGAGACCCACTCCTGTCTGCTCAGGCTTTTTGTCATGTCTTTGCCAAGTGACATTAGGCACACTGTACATTTTTGCATCTCAACTTTCTTAGTAGCTCCTAGGGGACATCCTGCCTCCTCCTGTGATGGGAAGAATGATGGGGAATACACAGGAACCTTTCAGGAAGAAGGCACCTGGAGATAAGGGGGAGAGAATGGGAGGCGGATATGAAATGGTAAGTGACGTAATTTGCTTTATTCCAAGTGACCTCTGTTGGGTCTGCAGTTTCCACATACAGAAGCATGCTTTGTCCCTTCATGCCTACTTTTGTTTTTAAACCGCATGGTATTAAGATGGGAGGAAGGATACCAATCCCCCATTTCTTTCCTGAGTTTTGTCCTTTAGATTCACCTTCTCTCGGGAGTGTAGCCCAGGTATAACGATAAACCTAGAGGTCGTGGTGAAAAACGTGGCTTACCAGACTCGCAGTAGGATTGATTTTCTTTGTCTCCACTTTCTTCTCTGATGTCAGTTTGCTGACAGATGCCTGAGCCATTTTCAACCTGAAACAGAAATGGGAAGGAGAGATGGAAAGAGAGGAAGAGCAGAAAAAGGTAAGGTTGAGTTGAGCAGAAATCTTACTGCTTCTGAATGCGGAGGTCAGTGGTTACTGTTTAATCAGTTAATTGTCCCATAACCACGGGGGTACATTCTGAGAAATGTCTGGTCAGGTAATTTCGTCACAGTGACACTCACTCAGTGGATATCCATACGCACCAACAGGAAAGCCCACAACAATACCTACCATAGATACCTGTAGGGTATGTTACACACTGAACCCTGCAGGTACCTAGAGCACACTGGCAGGGATTTGCATATCTGAATATATCAAAACAAAGCAAAGGCATGTTGTAAATATTAAACCCACCATTTCCCCCTCCATTATATGTCTCATAGACTGTTGTCTATGTGTTCAGTTGTCAGCCAGGATGGCATTATCCCCTGTGTAAACGGTAGCCAGGAGCTTTTAATAGCTTTCTGCTATTACATTTAAACTCTAGGTGTAAATGCTACCCTGCTTAACCACAGCTCAGTTCTCACTGGAGAAGCCCTGTGCTTTTGTGAACAATGTCACGGTGCAGGATGAAGAGAATCCTGAACTCGGATTCTGTAGGCGGGGCAGATGGTCTACTGAGCCTGGCTGACTGTCTGCACAGGGGATAATGTTGAGACAATTTTGGATAATGAAAATTTTGAGAAAACGTATGAATACTATAAGCATAAAATCCATAAATTCACTGCAGTGAAGTGAAAAGGCAACCTAAAAATGTAAATAAAAACTGAAAATCATGTATCTGATGTGGGGTTTTTGTCTAGAATATTTATGAATGCTTATAGCTCAAATAAAAAGATGAAAATTATGGTACCCACTACAATTAATAAATTTGTCAATGATATAATAAATATAAATAAATTTATATTAACATATGTAATTTAATATAAACAAATATATTTACAACACATATTTGAAGCTCAGGGAACACGTAGGAAGATGGGGCAGAGAGACTGTAAGATGAGATAGGTATGAATAATTTGCATTGATATGGATTTTGCTTTAGTGATATAAATTTAAGGTCAATTTTGTTATATGTATATGTATTTCTGCTCTTGATTAAGGTATTGTGATTGTGTAGTTTATGTAAAAATGTAATGTATATAGGTTGTTAACAGATAATCATAATAGTCAAGTTTGTAGTCATGTTAGTTAAGATTTTCTAGATGTACATAGATATATTTTAGATAGGCATTCTTTATATCTTTCAAAGATTATAGAATATGGCATTTTAAATGTTTTAATAACTTAGGGCTTTTCATGACAATGAGACACAACTGCTCCTGGCAGCATCAATCTACTTAAAGAGGAAGATGGGCATCGAAGAGGATCCTTATGGAGTTTGATAGCCATTTGGGCAAGAAACTGCTCTTGCCTGGACTATTGCATAAACTGGACACAGAGAACCCTCAGAGAGAGGACTGCTGAACTTGCCTAAAGGTGAGATGGTCTTTCGGGGTTCCTGATTCATGAAAGAGTCTGCGAGACATTCTGCAGGACACAACAGATAGTGACTGAACTGCCTTTGAAATTTCCTGCTTCATGGAAAAGTCTGCTGGAAACTATGGGTCTGTAGGCTGAAGATGGATGCCCCAACAGTACAGAGAAACTTTGGGTGACTGTCCAGGTAGCGAGATGTCTCTGTCATTTCTAGAGTTTTGGATTTCTTGTTTGCTTAGGTAATATTATATCCTTCTGGAGTCTTTGATGGAGTTAAAGAATATATAGATAGTTATAGTTTTCCTTAGTTATGAAAAAAGATAAAATAGATGTAAATATTGTAACTTTTACTTGATAACTGTTTTGTTATATGTAATTTTGCTATGTTAAAGTTAAAGCCTTTCCTTTTTGTTTAAACAGAAAAAGGGGAAATGATGGAGGAAGGTCATTGATTAAGTAATAAAGAAACTTCTTGGCCTCATAGGCTAAAACATAGGTGGGAGGAGTAAACAGAACAGAATTCTGGGAGGAAGAGGAAGTGAGGTAAGATGCCTCAGACAGACGCCATAGCTCAGCTCTCTGGGGCACATGCCATGAAGCAAGCTGCCAGGTCAGACATGCTGAATCTTTTCCAGTAAGACTGATGCTACACAGATTATTAGAGATGGGTTGACCAGGATATGAGAATTAGCCTGTAAGGGCTAGAGTTAATGGGCCAAGCAGTGTTTAAAAGAATACAAAATGTGTGTTGTTATTTCGGGGCATAAGCTAGCCAGGTGACCAGGAGCTGGGGTGTCAGGAACACAGCCCGCAGCTCCCACTACAGTAAGAGGCAGAAGACCAGGGCATCTGGTCATAAGATAGCTCTTCTAGGGACAAACAACAAGCAAACAAACCAATAGGAGGTGGGGTCGTGGTAGGCAAAGAAGATCAAGATATCTTGTTTTAAATTCTCCAAGAATTAATAAAGATGTTATTTTTTTTAAAGATGAAATTACTTTCTCCACAAATGGACAGAGATTCAAACAAATATTTCTTCAAGAATTACATACAAATGGTCAACAGGCACATGAAAAGAATTATAATGTCATTAATAGACTCAACACACACAAAAGTATCCAAAAGAGACTGGAAAGATATTAAATTATTGAGAGAGGTGATTGCTGGAAGGATAAAAGAGAAAAGGGATTGAGCAGTATATTAAGTGAATTCCATTTTAAATGTATAACATTAATAATTTTATTTATTTAAACTCTTAGAGAATATGTAATTCTAGGTGATGAGAACATGCATTTTACTTTTAAAATTTCCTCAAAATTCTAAAAAAAAAATTAACTATTAAAAGATTGACCAATTCACAGACATTTAAAATTTAGCATTTTTTTCCCTTCAGGGTTTCAAGTAAAAAAAAAACAACCTTTCACTTTATATTAATTGTGTACATGTTATCATCTATAAATGACTGAGAGGCTTGATTCTTGGAGGATTTGACTGTTTGGAACATATATCCACGAATCAAATCTTTCTGTCCATGTATAGAATGTAACTCCAATGAGTTTAACATGGTAACCGGTGTATCAGAAAGTTAATAAAAATGAAACAAAGAGGAATGATGAAGAGGAGTTACAGAACCCAAGAAGTAATACATCTGCAAAGCTGCGGAGAGACACTGTCATAGGTCTGAGTGTCTATACCACACTGTCCACTAAAGCTGCCCATTTGAGACAACAACTGTGACTATATCCAGCCAAGAACAGATTGTACCACCAGGTCAGACCATACTGGAGAACAACCATTAAAGAGAGGTTTTCCAACGTAGATGACAGAGATGCAAATGTATCCTCAGTGTGTATTCTTTCTGGAGTTCTGCCAGCTAGGATCTGTTCAGGGAGCAATTATCTATTTCATGGTAACTACCTTGAAGGGAACATTTTGGCCCATCTTTTTGCTTTAATGGTTCCTTTCTACCTATCAATTCTGGTCCCTGCTTTTGGAGTTGGCCTGCTACCTGGCTTCTGCTCGCATCACCCTCCCACTTCCTGAGTGTCTTGGTGTCCACTCTTTGGGTCCTTTGGATACCCAAGAGTTGGAGCTGGGGGAGTTGTTGTGTGGGTCAAAAAATGATGAGGGGTTAGGAACTAACCCGCAGTCATGGCCACACTGTAACGGTACTAGGGGCTAGTTACATAAATGAACATTTAATTGGGTAGAGTGGATTCTGTGCTCTTTTCTGATGACCAGTTCTAAGGCTCACATATCTTACTGTGTTGTGATCATTTTTAACTAGCTCCCTATCACAGCAGATTGTAGCTTCTCCCGAGTGGGGACACAGTTCCATTACTTCTGTCCTCAGTATCTGCACTGTACCTGACATACAGTAACTGAATAATAGATAATAACTTATTGCAATCAATCTTTAAAGGAATTCAGGTATCGAGAATGGTGATGGAGGCCTTCGGAGATGGTACAAATGGTAAGGTGCCTCCAGGCATAACTACCTAAATTTGAATTCCCAGCACTCACACATAAGCCAGTAGTGGTGGCATATGCCTATAACTGTAATGATGGATTGGGACAGAGGCAGGAGGATCCCTGGATCTCAATAGCCAGTCTAGCCAACTGGTACGTGAACGACCCTGTCTTTAAAGCTAAGGTGGAGAATGAACCACTGGGAAAGCACACTTGACACAGACACATGGCTTCCACGTTCACATGTGCACACACTCACCCATGCATGTATGTGCACACTCACATAATGCACACATGCAAATTGAAAATAAATGATAAAAAAGAACAGTGATGAGGACAATAGGCAGGAGTTCCTTCAATCACAGGTGGCGACTACATCAGCAGGTCCAAGATGGATCCTGCATAAAGCAAACTGGGAAATTCTTACTAGTCACTGTCTATCCTCAGCAGTAAATTCCACCGACTTTGAGAGGGCCAGCACTGCACAGTGAGCATCAGGCACAGCAGGACCAGCTCAGCGTGGGGCTGTTCCCATCACCCTCATCATCAGCCAGAAGCTAGCAACTGACCAGTGCTCTCTGCCAACTCCCTTGGAGTGTCTGGTTTTCTAGCACTTAGCACATTTCACCTGCTTTTGTGACTAGACTGGACTCTAAAAATCTTAAAGTTTTGGCTAGGAAACTTGGAGGAAGGCTAGTGTGGGGGCCTAGATGAGAAGGAATGGAAGTTTAGACAACTGAAGTCATGTTAAAATAGCCTAGCTCCTTTGAAGCCATCCTACAGATTAAGGTGACCCCAAGTAGAGATGCATGACTAAGGATATGCCTTTCTTTCTCCAGCACCTTCAAATGATCCCATCAGCTAGAGCAGAGGTCAGCAAATATTTTCCATCAAGAGCCAGAGAGTAAATATTTCAGGTGGTATGTTGTGTTCCAAATACTGAACTCTGTCATTGTAGTATAATAATAACACACATGGGATATGCAGGTAGGTCAGGCAATGCTATGCTCTAATAATAGTCTTTATTCACAACCACTGGAA